TATTCTGTGTCTATACTCTATGTCTCTATTACTCTATACTCTTTTTATTATACTAGTAGTTTATAGTTCAAGTTCAATTTTAAATTACCATAACAATATATTCTGTTTCCATTTTTTATACAAGACCTCATATTAATCTCATGTATTGAAACTTGTACCTTTTTAGGGCATAATAATATTATGTTAAATCCACTAATAAATAGTTTATTGCTTAAACATCTAGGTTGAACTGAACATTTTATTAGAATTTTGGATAGTGTCATTGACTGTGCCGGCATCATAAGACATCGTGAAATATTTAAGACAATAGTAACCAGTTAAAAGAAATTATTAGGTTTTGAATTATTTTCCCAGACCATTTACCATGGTAATTTTTTTGACAATTTTACATTTTTTTTTTTTTCAATAATTAAATTTTTTTCGATTAGAATAAGTGTTCCAGATTGCTTAGCTGGCGTCGTTTGGCTATAGGAGTAGCCTATTGTCAAACAAAAACCACTAACCCTGATAAGGTGGAACAACCAATAGTCATAGAATTGAATCAAATAGCCGAACAACTGACCCATAAGCATTTGTTACAACAAACGTGTACTATATCAGTAAACTGTTCTTGTCAGATGATTACAATAGCACTAGTTGCATTCAATGATGCATCTCAGAAGTACAAGTAGGTACCTCTACTACGGTCTATACCAGTATAGCAGAGTTGTTTGACAACTTAACTTACCAAAGTGGCAGTTTTCAAAACTTAAAAGTCCAACGAGCTGGATTATCCTATAATGTATTTTTTATTTGCTTATTCTAAATTTGAAAATACTGTGCCATTAGTTGAACATCCTTTGTAGAATTATAAATATTATAATATCATTATTAAATATATTTTTCTTTTTTTTTTGTTCGAAAGAGATACACTAATTAGGTGTATGGATTTATTGGAACCCAATGATTTGTTCAATGAAAAATTAGAAAATGATGTTTTGGAGTCTCGATATGATATTGCAAATGCAAAATCATTTTATTTAGTTAGTACATTTTGGAATGTTCACACATTTTTATATAATTTTATAAAACACCATTTATCTTAATTTAAAGGATTCTATTAGTGCTATGGATTGTGCTCTACAACTTGGAAGGTCAAACGCACTTATGTCTTATACAGTAGCAGCAGACACTGTATTCAATAGTATGTCTGAAAAACTTTACTCCGCTGAAAGAGAGGTAGGTACCTATATTATACTATTTATTTTATATTTTTTTCATCTCAAAATTACGGAATATATAATTATATATTTACAATTTACATAATATATGTTTGAATTGTCAGTTTCAGTCTTGTACTGAAGAGATAAGGAAATTAGAAGACAAATTCACTAAATTATTGGCAGAATCAGTGAATATATCTAAACATGAAGAAAGTTGAATAAACTAATTATGAAATATAAAAAAGAATATTTATTGTTAACATTACATATAGGTATAAGTGTTTAACACATATTTAAATTAATATTTGATTATTCCTGTGAACTATCACTGTTAGATTCACCACTTATATTATCAGAATCATATGATGATGAGTATCTTTTATTAATTGGCTGCTTTAATAGTTTCGATTTAAAATAGTTTTCATGATTGTCTTGATCCTCACTGACTTGATTTAATTTTGCTAAAAGTATGTCTTTTTGTTCTCTAGACATGGAGGTTCCTGGTAATTGGTTGAAAGCAGCAGTTTTATGTCTAGTTTTTTTTTCAAAATCATTTTTTACAGTTTTCAATAGTTCTGATTCACTTTCCTAAAATTAAATTAATATTTATTTACTGTACTTTACTATAACACAATTATAGGAGATAATGTATAATTTATATAACTAGTCTAGAACTATTTTCAGATCTGACGCAAGACTTTGTAAATATGCATATGAAAACTTATAAGTTACTTCTATAAGTACTGTGATTTACTATCTCTTAAGTATTTACTTTTGTCAAATTATCCAGAGGACTGTCTACCCAAGACATATTGCTCGGTGTTATTGACGAGTATGATTCTTTATTTATCAAGGTACTAGATGGTTTTATTGTACTCTTTTTTATCTGCTTAATTGTGTTAATTTGATAGTTTTTTGTTGAATATCTACCGTTTTCTTCACAATCTTCATGAAATGATTCTGGTTTAGGGGATATTGACCCATTAGTTTTGTAAAAAGATTCATCTATTTCATCACCTTGTCCATCATGTATTGTTGGTATAGGCTTTAATACACTATTTAATTTATAAATATATTAAGGTTTACAAAAAAATACTAGATTGACTTACCGAGATACTATGCTTATCGAGTCTTCAGTTATTCCCTTTGTAAAACTTTGTCTTGAACCATGATTTTTATTCTTAAGTTTATCCAAATTTAATCTTAGATTTTTGTTTTCTTCTTCTAAACGTTTGACTTCATGTTGTAATTCTTTGATTTTAATATGTTCTACGTTCATATGATACCTATGAGATTTATTTTGAAGTTCTAATTTTTTCATAATATTCTAAAATATAAAGTAAAAAAATATATTTATAACTACTTATTAATTATTGTACAAAATAAAGATTTACCAAAATTTTGTCATCTTGTTTTTTTATTGTACTTTGAGCTTCTTCTAATTGATCTGATAGTTTTTCTTTTTTACTAAGCTGTTTATTCTGAGTTAAACCAAAAAGGTGTTTGTACTGTTTTTGTAAGGATATTAATTCAATGTTCTGTGACTTATATCTATTTTCCATTTCTTTAAATGAAATTTTAATATGACGTATTTGGCTTTTTAATGTGCGTATTTCCTCTTCATATGATTTAATTACTTGTGGTAGCTTGGCTTGTTTACCTTCATACATAGATAATGCATTTTCGTGCCGCTTCTCTAATGTTTTCAATAAACGGTTTTCTACGATCAGTTCCTAAATTATTAACATGTATATTGATTATTGTTTTAAGTATATGGTTTTATATTTTAAATAAACTCACACGCGTTTTCATATGTGCTTCAGTCAGTTCATTTTCTAGTTTTTTTATACTCAATATATGATCGTTGATTAGTAAACTATTGACATTTGATCTGTTTGATTGGGTTCCAGTATGGCTAGTATAAGTGGTTTGATATGGTGTATTTAATGTGCCTGTCAAACATTGTTGAACAAAATAAATTCCATACAAGTATTACAACTATAGTTAATTTCTTAATTTACATTGTCTTCTTCTGGTAGCCGACAATGTATGTAAACGTATTGGTTTTAAAACTTTCTTCTTCTTACGCTGCTGGTTCTGAGTACTGTTTATTTTTTTGTTACCAAATACAGGCAACTCCATTATGTATTGCCCAACAATTTCTCTAATAAGCAGTGATTAAAAAAAGCAATTTACATATTAGTTAGTTACATTAGCATGTAATAAATAATACAAACATACTCGGGATATGAACCATTCTTAGAATGTAAAACGGACTCATTCTGATTTCTATTCATTGGATATGAAAAAAAATAAAGTTACAGTTACCTAAGTAATATGACGTATAAGACTTAATAAGATAGGTAATAAAATATTAATTGTATAGTTAATTAATATTGTACAAAGTTAAAGTTCAATATACAAATATTACTGTTAAAAAACAATATGCTAATATGTGGCCCATTATTATTGATTTTTTTCACCCGTAGCAACAGAAACAATTGATAGTATACAGTGTACTAGGCCAATATAGTTTATATTACTTTGTACGGAAACAAATGAAATGATCTCGATTACATAATTAAATGCATGGTAAGCATAGTATTATATTATAATTTCTAACAAATACCAACCTGCCTAATTCATAATATTACAATTTAGTATTTACATGACAGAATATTTCGTACTTACTGAGTCAACCGATTTTTTCCCTGTAAAAGTTGTGCTAATTTTTAATACAATATTTGTTGATATGATAATGGTATACAGGTAGGTATAGGTACTGACTCTTAAAAGTTAAAATGTAGGAAATCAATAACCTGTATTTGTACATGTAACTATGTAAGTATGTAACAGTTAGGTGTTTAAGACTATCAAAACGTTAAAAAATATGACCTATGAAGTTAAGACATCCTAGGCACTAGCCACGGCTATATAGACCAAAAAATCAATTAGGCTTCTATAAAAAATTTACCTAGTTTGATAAGAAATATACACTCAACCTTGGACACGAGGTAGAGTTTTTGTATTTTGGTAGGAATCCGCCCCTACTTATTAAATACTTACAGAATACTTATCGATCGACTTATATAGTTATATTTATATATAAAGTAATATATTTTCCTTAAAAACCTACCTACTTATTTATTTATACTCCCACCTTTAAAGGTTCGTGAGTCGTATTAAAGGTTCTGTTATTATCTATCTCGTCGGCAAGCGATACAATTAAAAAAAGGTGTGCAATGGGTGTTTCTCTGCAGTACAGTAAGCTACAAGTGGGTCACCGTAATGGATAATGTTAAATTTGAATTCAATGATATAATATCATTGTGTACTGTAAGAAAACGATTCTGAGCGTCAGTCAGCCTATGATATTACTATAAGTATATTTGATCATACTATTGTGAATAAAGTAATTTATATTACCTATTTACGTGGAACCTTGTTTTAAATTTTTAATCCTTAGCTATAAAAGTTGAACATTTTATACATTTTTAACTACAAAATTATTATTATACATTTTAAATTTAATACATTTTGTCAAAATTCAAACTTTAAATGCTTTTAAAAAAATTGTGCCTATGTATTTTTAATATTTTTCCACTGCTTTTGTAACAATATATCAGGAGCCTTGTATTAAATTTTCACGTTTTTTAACCCAAATAATAACATTTTATTGATATTTATAGAAAAAAAACTAAAAAATAAATGGAAATTTGAAAATGTCCGTAAACAGCTAAAAATAAGTCAAAATATTTGGAAAATGTTATTGTGTATAGAAAATGCTAATATAAACATTCAGTCAAAATGTACCTAAGATCATTTGTTTAAGAGTTGCACCAAAAACCAAAATCGATTTTCTCGAAAACAGATTTTAGTGTAAAAATTCCCGTTTTTCCTTAATTTTTATTTTGTTTTTCACGGTGCTTTTGAAAACTACTGGTAAATTATTACTTTTGACCCCCCAAAGTACCAATTAGATTAATTTTCCTATCTGAAAAGATACTGTTGAAGAAAATTCAAGCATTTTTACTGTCCTAAAAAGTGATGACAGACACAAAAATAAAGAAGGTGCTCTGCTGAGTCTGCTGTACCTACTACAGTTGGTTACAAGCGGGTCGCTGTAAAATGGATGGTATTAAATTTGAATTAAATGATATAATATCATTGTATAAGAAAAACAATTCAGAGCGGAGACGGTATATCAGTCTAGGTGTAAGACATATTATATACTTATCTACAATAACAACAAAATAACTAAAATAGTTATTTTAGGTTTTTTTTTATGTAATTTCTTCCAAATTTGAACTTAAAATGACTATAAAAATAAACTGTGCTAATGTATTTTTTAGATTTTTTGGGAACAGAATTAACTACTTACGTAGAATCTTGTTTTAAATTTTCAATCCTTAGATATAAAAGGTGAACATTTTATAAATTTTTAACTACAAAATAGTTATTTAAATTTTGTCGAAATCTACTTTAAATAATTAAAAAAAAAAATTGTGCCTATGTATTTTTAATATTTTTCAACTGATATTTCAACTGCTATTTTAACAATATATTAAATTTTTACACTTTTTGGCCCATCAGATAAAACTTGATTGATATTTATAGAAAAAAAAAACTAAAAAAATTGATATATGAAAATGTCCGTAAACAGCTCAAAAAGAGTCAAAATATTTTCAAAATTGTATGGTGTATAGGAAATACTATATAATTAATCTATAATAATATAAACATTCAGTGAAATTTTCATGTATCAACAGTTATTCGTTTTTGAATTACAACAAAATAAGGAAATCGCTATATGACAAATTGAGTGAATATCCAATGTTGTAAAAATTTTAATTTCAAACGATCATAAAAATTTAATTTGACTTTCTTATACACATTTTATTTTTGATAAAGGTAGATAATCTTATAAGGAATCTTGTATTGCATTTTAAAATCTTAGATTTAAAAAGAAAAATGTTTACGAATTCTTAAATCAAAATAATTTGCTAATTTCGTGATTTTTCCATATTTTGTCAGTTTTTGAACTTTAAATACTTATAAAAAAAAACTAAGGATTTTCAATATTTTTTATCTGCCTTTGAAACAATATACTAGGAGCCTTCTATTAAATTTTCAAACTTTTTAACCAACAAATACAATTTTATTGATATTTTTAGAAAAGAAACTAAATAAAAATGGAAACTGAAAATGTCCCTAAACAGTTCAAAACAAATCAAAATATTTTGAAAATATTATCGTGTATAGATAATGCAAATATAAACAACCACGTTGTGAAAATTTCCATTGAATCCAGTGAAAATTTCATGTATATACGTTCATTTGTTTTAGAGTTAAATCAAAAACCAAAATCGATTTTGTGGAAAACCACTAAAATTTTTTTGTTTAAAAATTTTAGTTTTTCCTTAATTTTTATGTTGTTTTTCCCGTCGTTTTTGAAAACTATTAGGAAATTTAAAATTTGAAAGTGCACCAACTAGATTCAATTTCTCATCGAACAAGATAGGTACTGTTGAAGAAAATCGAAGCAGTTTTACTATCCTAAATCGTGATGAAATTAAAAAATTAAAAAAAAAAAACACACATCATTGTAAAATCAATACATTCGTCGTTTCACTCAGAATCTAAAAAAATGAATAATATTAAAAATACTAAAATATGCAAAAAAAATAAATATTTGTATAAAAATATTTTTATGGTTTTATTATAACAAAAAAAATTGGAATACCTAATATTACTGAATTATTGTTTATTGATTCATGGACTCATTTATTCTGCGATTGTTCTGTTAAAAAAAATTATTATAATAAATTATAAGCTATAATTATATGTTTTTAAATAATTTTAAACATATATTTACCTTGAAAGTTACATCGAATTGTGAGATGTTTGAACAAGTTTCAAAGTTATACTATAATATTACAAGAAGAAAAATTTGTTATTATTAAGAAAAAAATGTTTTAAAGGCAACGGAACTGAAAAAAAAATAATAATAAATATTAAGCAAAAATAATGGGAAAATAGTAGGAAAAATAGAAAAAAAAGCACTTAAATTTCGAAATATGCAAAAATATGTAACATACAATTTCGTATTTAGCTTCTTGGTTATCTGAAACAAATTTATAGCTCACACAAATGCTAGAAGTTATGAGCCCTGATTATATAACAGTAATAATAATATTTTCTAGAATATATTTAGTGTTGGTTATTTGGTATCACTTCTTCAGTCGCTAGTAAATATTAAATTACTACCTACATAGTACATAGTACATACTACATCCCAACATTGAAACAATTAATAAATCAAATCATTTTTGTTAAAAATCGGTGCTCCTTAGAAACTCTTTTGTTTTGCCATTTTCTGTTAATTTTGAAAGTAAATATTTAGTTTTATTATAACGAATATAAAAATTTGCTGGTTATTTCTGGTTTAAAAGTTGTCCACATAAAATACCATTGACAGCCGCTCAGATCATAAAAAAAAAATGTAAAGGAACGGAATACGATCCTTTTTCGCAACAGAAACGAGGAACGAGCCCCTTTTTAAAATGAACTTTCCCAACACTGCTCAATATGTAGTTGTAGATTACCACAATTTAAAATTTTTAAAAATTTTAAAACTGGTCACAGGTTTAAACAAATTTTTCGAATCCTATGGACGTCGTAATAGTCGTAACCTATTTTTCCGGAAGCGGTTTCAAGCTCGGGTAAAGAGTTTATACACAGAATAGATGCAATAATAGATTCTGTGGCTAATATCCATATTTGTTAAGTTATACAAAATAATTTAAAGATAGTTAAGTGATAATAGGTATAATTAAATAGGTGGGTATGACTGTATGAGTGTATAACAACTTACACCATTAAAAAAAAAAAATGTATTTCAGTATTTGTAAAATGTCAAATAACCACGAGGTTGATAGATAGGTAGGTAGGTACTATTTTGAACGATTGAAATTTAAAGGTTTTACTGTTTGAGAACTTAGACAGTTCAAATTATTTATTCGTATGGGTTAATTTTTTTTTTGTTTAATTTATTTAAAAAAATAAAAACTTTACCTATGGGCACGGGTATTATGACGGTATGACACAAATAATATTCTCCTCTAGTCCTCTATATACTTATTACCTACCTATTGTAAACATTTGACATTTGGTAAATTCTGCTGTAAATAATGTAGGTACTCGCCAAATCGCAAGTTTGTTCCAAGTGAAACCGTTTATATATATAATCTCATTATTCTCGTTATTACGCAACAACCATTGTTTGTACTGCCACGGGACCACTTAAAATGATTTGAATTAGTATTTAAATTAATTAAAGATTAAATATTTTATTATGGTTTATGATTTATTAATGTTTTGTAAATACTAATACATTTTAGACTGTCAAATTGTCAAATGCTCCATTTCTGGATGTCGATGGGAATTAAAATAACGTAGGTATATAAATTTCCATATAAAACTACAATAAATTTCATCCAAACATGAAACAAATTAATTTCAAATCTTTCAATAATAAGTAATAAGTACTAATAACATTATCAAATTATAATGATATAATCATATAATTACATAATCATAACATAATGAGTGCCTATAAATCGTTACAGGATTGATTAAATAACAAATATTTAAATAGTATATTTTTACATATTCTGACTTCAGTGCATGTTTTGTACGTTTTTGCATATTTGCAGGTTACTATTAAAAGAGGTGAGTAAAAAACACAAAAATATGACTAAAATAAAAAGCTAATGAATTAAAAAAAATTATTACATTTATTCATCATATCAAATATTTTATGTTTCAAATGTTATCTGATCAAAGCTTCAAAAAATTAAAAACAATTTCATATGAGTAATAGAATAATTAACACAAAATGTAAAAATGTTTTAAGTAGGTAGCAATCAAGGATTAATAGTTTTAATAGACATTTTAAAAATACATCAAGGTAGAAGTAATAATTTAAACGATTTGTCTCTTACAAATTATTCACACGATATACTACCCAATTTCAAATGTAAATAACAACCATTAACCATTGTTGATGTTGAATGTAGACACGTAGTATTTTATCCTACAAGTATATTCTTAGAAATGATCTCCATAATTTAACAGAATTAAACTGGAACAGACTATGGTACTTACATATTTTGGTAGGTAACTTATTGTTTTTCAAATTAACATACATTTGTCATTATTTTTTCACATTAATAATGTACTAAATTTGATTACTAAAATACTATATATTTGGTTTCTTCATTGTATACTCAAAAATTAAATGTATTCTTAGTTTACAAGTTTTAACTATGTATAATTTAAAATGCTCATACTTACTAACTAAAATTAAATCACATTTTTGTTTTTGTACCTACTGTATATTTTGACTTTTTTAGTACATGTTTGCATGCTATGCATATTTATAACAATCATAATCACATATAAAACCGGAATTAAGTTATATGTATTATTTTGACTATTTATACTTGTTTTTGTGTATGTTACACTTTTATTCAAATTTACTGATTGTAATTGGTTCAGTTACTATTTATTCATTATTTTCAATTTAACTTAAATTTATCTATATTAACTTGACAAAATGAGTTAAGAAATTTGTTAACATGACAGCTTTGAATTAATAATATAATATATTTATGTACATATACTCTATGGAGTTCGATAGTTTTTGTAATATCACATTTTTTAAAAATATTCCATTGAATCTGAAATATCTCAGCTAAAAAATAAGTTGATTTCAAATTTTAACCAACACAGATAGTAGTGTAGCACAATTATGTTACATGAAGTATAAACATTTTAAATTGTAGTAATATTCTTTACTTAAAACTTGCTTTTTACTAAAAATATCTAAAAACTGATGATAATGCTTACTTTACTGTAATTAATATTATGTAGACAACATTATATTGTACTACATACACACACACACAAATGTTGATATATTATATTTATACTGGGCATTTGCCATTCATCTAATTATTGCTTATACATTACACAATAATTGTAATTTTAATTTCCAAGTATATTATAAATAAATAAAAGTTGTTTGTTACGTTTAACCATTTTTATTTTTATTCATTTAATGATTAAGGTAACTTATTTCAGCTAATAACAAATCAATACATTTTATTAATTTTTACTGTTGCCTGTTACTTTACAAATAATCATTTTTGATAAACACATTTTTTTCTACAGTAGTTTAATATGATTAACTTTTACAAAATCAGTATAATTAAAAAAAAAGTTATTGATCATTGGCAAAATCAGCAGGGTTCTTCCTCAAACTTTCATGATGGGCATGCACAGCCCAATCGTAGACAATATAACCAATAATCATTGGTGGAACGATGTATGGTATATTAGAGGCTGTCCTTTTAATGGCATTGGGAACTCCATGAGAAAAGAGTCCTTTGAATGCTTTCTGCTCAAATGGAGACAATTTGGTGGTAACAACTCCACGGATGTCAGTTTTTAGCTGTCCAAAATCTCCACCCATATTCTGCAACAATTTGTAAGAATTATCAAAGTACCTATAATAAATACTACATCTAATAATAGGTACATATAGTTTTCATTTTTATTAAACCATTTATTGTATTAACCTTAGTATAAACAATTAAATAACTTAGAAACTACTCATTAGAATTTTATTCATTAGATAGGTACATCAAAGTTGTCAATAAAATCATCTGCTAAATAATTTGTAATAAAAGATGAGGGGTTCTCATTTGAAAAATAGAAGTTTGTATCGTCATAGGACACTTCTTACACAGTATAAAAAATATCAGACATTTTAAAACATGGTCTTTAGGTATACTTAGAAAGTCTAAAAATCAGAATTTGAATAAAATATTTACTATTAAAAGGAAAAATGGAGGCGAGCATGTTTAAAAAATCACCTCGTATATGTAACAGGTAGTAATGAAAATTACTGTAATATCAATTGACTGGGAAATTAAGTATAAAATATATAATTAAATACCAGTAATATTGCTAAACTATTTAGTCAAATGTTATCGTATACTCATTATTGGATACTGGGTGGAAACATCTAGGCTAATAATAATCTGACGATCGGACTCCGTACAGTTATCGATTTTAATAAAAAAAAAACAAATTTTTAACATGCAAAACGCAGAAGTCATCCAACGATCGCGAAGTCCTGACGAGATCGTCTAGGTCGTCAGCCTCATCACCCGTTATCGCTGACCGCGTAGTACACTCGATGGAGCGTAGAACAGCGTACCGTGTGTGGTTTTAAACGGTACTTGGTAAAAACATAATATAGTACTTACGGTATTTTCTTGTGGATTGGGAACGTGTGAAAATGGAACGAGGGTGAAAAAATACGGCCGAGGACGACTGAAATTATAAAATTGCAATAATGTAAGTCAAGACGGCAGCGGTCGCTATCAAAATGATAACGCAAAAAAGTCGAGCCCCGGATCAGCTGTTTTCGGAAACAGTGCAGGTACAACGAGTCGCGTGGTGTCCCACGTCTGTCCCGGGTCACGGCTGCACTGGCGGCCGTTGTTTTATCACGACGACGACGACTACGACCGGACGGCGGACGACGACAACCTACGGTCGACAACTCGAGGCGGCGGCTGACCGGACTATCACGCGCACGCGGATGGATTGCTGGTGGCGATACTAACGCGCGGGCGGGTGGCGGGACTGACTACGCGTCTCCCACAGGCGGCGGGAAGACGCAGTTCGTAATTCTGGTTCGGCTGGGTTGTACGTCCCGCGGTCGCTATGGCTGCTAATGCGGCGTATCTGGTCGTCCGCTCTCGCATAATTTTCGGACTCTCTCACCATCGCAGGGATGTCACCACCGGCGGGATCACGAGAATTTGCAGGACGTTCGACGTAAGTGCTACGAAATTTAGTCTTGGGGGAGACGAAGGAAAAATGTATTTTGAAAATACCTAATGTATTATGTGACTTATACCTATATAATAATATTATAATATGCAGCCTATCTGCAGTAGGTTGTAAGTAGGAACCTGATTATATATTATAATGGTACAATTTATTTTCGACAGTGTAGCGTATTCGGATATAAATATTAACAGACGAAGGTACATCAGCTGTGTGTAGTACTGCAGTAGAGGTACCTACACCAGCTGTTGAACGCACATTGCAGATGATACGATCTTATTTGCGAATTAACGATTTATGTATACGTTTTATCTTTTATGGACTTTGACGTACTCTCGTACGTACGATGTATACGGATTGCCCGCTGTGTTCATGGCTCACGCCTCCCACATTCACGAATAATTCCAATTAAAGTTCGAGCAGGGGGATCCACAGTAAACCGAGGGCGGCCCTAGATTTTACCCGTAGATACGTCATACATGTGTGGTGTTTATGATGTTTTAGGTACCTATTTCTACACACTATATTTCATAATAATATATACCTAATATAATATTAAAAATAATTATTTTATTATGATTAATAATTAAAAAATAGTCCTGTATCTCTTACAAATTATTAATAAAAAAAAAATAAATACAATATTCGGATATATTTTATTTTTAGTTAAAACTTACTATTATAATTTATTAATTGTTAATATAGACCATTACGATAATGTTAGATGTAATTATTACAATATAAATACTGTCGCTTACAATTAATACTTTTGTATTGATGCACAGGGCCGATATTTTTAAATTTGAATTTCTCAAGATGAGGTGTTCTAATAATTGCGCATAGGGTTTAGGACAAATGTCCCAGTTGACCTACCTTCCCCAGGGCCGCCCTTGATACCATATAATTCATGAGCATTTTATGATTTTTTTTTAGGTATTACCCACCTAAAATCCTAAACCTTTGAACTTGGATTTTATCGGACCGGTTAGAACATAATATTCCATACCTTATACCTAATATATTATATTATACCTCTCGGCTTTCAGTATTATTTATGCCTCTTCGAGATTAAAAATAAACAAATCGCTATCCATCCCCCACTCACCCCCGAGTCACGAGACATTAACACGCTACGATGCATAATTAAAAGTCCGCGGGCCGCCTGGGAAACCGTTGTTAAAAGACGTCGTTGGGAAGTTTAGTTCCAACCAACTTTGGCATCGCGTAGGTACAAAATAATATATTATAGTCGTATTGTAATTCCTCCATAATGTTATACTCGCGATGTGGACGTCTCTGCTGCATCTGATGTGCGAAACAGTTAAGTCAATTATTTGCACGAGTTCCGCTGACGGCTACCCTTTTATTTTGATTAACTTATGTTTCGAAACAGGTAAATATAATACAGTCAGATTTAAATGAATATATCTCATCATATTATTGTTAACGCCTTAACCATTTACGTATATGTGTGCTAGGCACATAACTACATAAGCACAACTAGATACTAGAGTTCAATTAATAGAAGTGGTGCTAAAATTGTATTGGTATAATAGATCACACACACCTCCTTCTTAATAGTATAATAAAAGATTATCTATAAAAATTGCAATGTGGTAAGTGGTTTCTCATCAAAAAAACATCATCACCTGGTATTTATCGACGTGTCACCACTTGATTGCTAGTATTCAATGCTCATATTATATTATAATTTATAATCAATACCAAAACATAATAAACACACTTTGAAGTGTTGTGATTCATGTTATAATATGTAACATTAATGTTGATAGGTACTGCCTATGTAACCAGGATCAGTGGCGTGCCTAGGAAATTCCAATTGGGGGGGGGGGGTGTCATAAGTAATAAAGCATTTAAATGCATTGTGGGGGTAGGACCAAAGACACAAATAAGGGGATTTAAGGGTAAATATAACCCCTAAACTCCCCGCTGGGCACGCCACTGGCCAGGATTATGAAATGGGTGGCGGGGAGTTAAGTACACATTATAATAAGTTTTTACAGTTTTTGTATATAAATAATATATTTATTAGTGGAAAAAATGTGGGGGAGGGGGGGGGGGTTAAAAGAGAAGGAAATGTGTGGGGTTTTTTAGTGATGGTGTTTTCATTGTGTATATTTTGTTGATATCGGCGTTTCTAAGAAGTATGATATGAGGCCATTTTTATGCAAAAAACTTTATAAGTCAAAGTTGCTTAAAAAAATTAATGTAATTCAAATTCAAAAAAGGGGGCTACATTTCAAAATAAATTTGTTGTGTTGCGCAAGCATGGAATTTTTTTTAAAAAAATTTAAATTTTTAAAAAATATGTGTTATATTAAGTCCTTTATTATTTACTTTACTTTATGCAGTAAAAAAAATCCCAAATGGAATTCAAGGCCATGCGTTCGAAATATTTCTTGTTACCTTTATCGTTACACATATTGTATAAAGTGTTATTTATACATAAATATATATAATAATATGTAGGTATATCATATTATAATCCATTTTATTCTATTGTATATTTGTATGGTATTCATGATTATTGTACATATTAATTATAACTCTTAATACTTTCATAAATAGTGTAAGTATATTTTTATTAGATTGTGGTGTACATTTTTTCGATATTGTACAGAATTTATTTACCATCCACCCTATATCCTGTTGATAATGAATTTATTTAAATTTTGATTTTTGGAATTTATAAGTATATAATATATATTATATTATATTATATATTATGAAGGATTATGATCCTTATAGACTATAGTACATATATTTTAATAACTCAGAAATTATTCTTTTAAAATTCGGTTTAGGTGCTCTACAATAAAAAAAAAATGAACTGCTAAATAGTTAAGCGTAAAAAGAGGAGTTCTCATTTGAAAAAAATTAATTTTTTACGGAAGAGAACATTCCTGAACTCTTAAAAAATCCAAGTACCCATCTAAAAATATGGTTTTTAGACTTTAAGTATACCAAAAATTTATTCCAAAATGTATAGTTTGAATAATTTTTTTATTTAATGATTAAAGAGTGGAGTGCCTACGTATTGAGCGGTGATTATGATTGGTGAATCACTATATTATACTATATTAAGTCGCCACAAGGGAATTTGTTGTCTCCGTCTTACAAACGTGCCTACAACATGGTAAATTTTACGTTTACAATAAAACATTTTACTGTGTAGTTTCTAAAATTATTGTGATTTTACCTCTTATAAAATTTAAAGGTTAGAATATTCTCTAGTCCATCTAGGAGGATTTTATTGATATTATTATTTTTAAGTAAGTTATGCTTATTTTAAAATGAATAATATAAAAATGATCATAACTTGCTTCTTAATAAAAATATTAATAATAGCCTACGAAATTAGTAATCTTAGATAGTAATCTTACCTTTAAATTTTATAAGAGGTAAATAAATCCAATCTAATTTTAGAAATTACAGAGTAAAATGTATTATTGTGAATGTAAAATTTACCATGTTGTACGTTTTTAAGATGGAGACAGTAAATGCCCGAGTGGCGTCCTCATAGGTATCATAGGCGCAATGTCAACTTTTGACTTGAGGGGGCTGAATATATTGAAGGCAAGCAGACCTGCA